GCATGAAGCCGAGAGAGCAAGCTGGAGTGGTATGAAGCTTTTAATCTCGAAGCCCGCCCCCAGTGGCACACATCCTCCAGTGGGCCATATGTCATAAACCTCCCCAAACAACACCACCAAATGGGACCTGATATTCAAGTATATATATATGAACCTCCAGGTGATGCTCTTAGTCAAACAACAGAACAAGCAACAGGCGTACTGCTGGTGGACACTTGGTGGATACAGTGGATACCGGCATTTTCCTATGACTGTGGTCACTGTCATGGACATGCCCTGATGCCTTCTTGGGGGAGGTCGGGGGGAGGATTATGCCAAGATGGTCAGCAAGGGGAAATAGGCCTATCATGGCTAGTATTAATTATCAACTTCACAGGACCTATAATCACTTAGAAGACAAATTTCTGGGTATGCTTATGAGGAGTTTCTAGACGGAGTTAATTGAGGTGGGAAAAACTGCTGAGCATAGGTATCACAGTTCCATGGGCTGGGGTGCCCTGACTGGGGCCTGGATTTTCAGGGATAGTGTGAAGCCCAGCACCATTGAACACTGACCTGGTGGAGAATATGGATAACCCAGTCAGGGCCCTTAGCAACTAGCCTGCCCAGGCTGCCCTCCAAAGCTGGACAAGTCCATCAATAAACAGTGGGACACTTCCCACCCTGCCCCCAGCATCACGGGCCCCTTGGAGAGCTATAGAAGACACACACCTCAAAACTAAACGAAATGACCAGGAAAGCAAAGGGGCACTGCCGCCTAGCAGCCTAGCATGGTGCTCCACTTACAGCTGCCAAGGAGATGGTTGGCATACATTCCAGGAAGGTAGATGCTGAGTAAGTGGCTACAGCAGGAAATGCAGCTTCCTGATGCAAAGTCCTGGCTGAAGAACATTTCAGTGATTCTAAAGGCACAAAGAATGTCGCTTCCCATTCATCTCATACCATATGAACATATAAACAATTCATGGGAATTTGTTATGTGCCCATGTGTGGAATGCAGTACACACAAACATGGGAAGAGCAACATGCCTTAGCAAGATATGTAAGGTTGATACAGCTGGGTAAGGAGGCTATGAATGCTCTAAAATCTATTGTACATTTAAACACATATGACCTATGACAATTAACAGAGCTCTAACTTGTGAAAGCGATTCTAATGATTTCCCAGTGATCATTAACCTCTGCATTGCGTTGCATGTGGTGGCAGCATGCATCACAGTTCCTATATCTAAGCAATTTTTGGAAAGTTCTCTCTCACTCACTGGACTGCAGAACTTTAGATGATAATACCTTTAAAAGTTATTTTGCTTCTGATTACTCTTACAACATCTGGCTCTAGGCTTTGCATGCCTGGCAAACAATGCCTCCACAAAGCACGACTAAAACCCAGCAAATTCTCATCATCACAAAGTCAATCTCATACAAAGATCCCATATTATACAATAAAAAGGTTTATTTGTTTTGAGTATTTCCTACTGAAGGGATATGCTGGGGGTGGCCAACTCTGTCCCTTGAGATTGTCTAGAGTCTACCCGGAGTCTGCCTACAGTATGCACAGTCCAAGTGACAACTCATGAGAACAAGAAATGGTTGCTTTTACCTGTCTGCTGAACTTGACAGGGGGGTGGATGGAGACTTTCTTAGATGTTTCCTTTCTATAAAATTTGGCATCACTCACTCTTCCAGAGTTCAGGATATAGTCAAGAACTTAGGCAGCATTTGCCCAAGCATTCAGCAAAAAACTCTGGGGCTCAATCAGACTCCAGATCAAAATGAGGCAGCCCTAAATGATACTGCAGGGATGCCTCTGGCTAAGGGGACAGCAGGCCCTTTGACTCTAGCTTTTAAATTTTGACAGGACAAGAAGAAAAATCCAGAACAGAAAAGGGCAGTTCTGGTAAGCCCCCTTTCCAGAGCCACCTAAATTAAACACGTGAGTCTTTACTTCCTTATGAGTTACTATACCAGTGCCTTCGCTGCCCACCACAGGCTCGTAGGTAGTTAGCCTGTGCTCTGCTGCAGAGCCACTTAGATCCGTTAAAGGGTTCAAGCTGGGAGCCACGGGAGTGTCTGGACCTTGGGACACACAAAAGGCAGGCCTGGAAGACCCCATCCAGGAGAGCTTCTGTCCAGTGGCTGCCTGAGCTTAGACAAGGTCTGGATAGCTGCTTTCTTTCTGTGAAATTTCCTGTGTTTGCCACGATTCCAGTGTGAAAGTGTGCACTGTGCTGCACAAGTGTGGGGCCTGAGTGTGGCTCCTCAGCACCGTGTGAGAACAATGGCAGCGCAGGATTGTGACTCTAGCTCTGGCAGTGGGGGAAGCAGGCACATCTTTGCTTCTGCTGTCTCTGTCTGCTATTTTTCTGCACCACATCGTCTACTATTGTGTTAGGTAGCTTTCTGTTACTGTGATGGGATGCCGAGATAACCAAGTTACTAAGAGTAAAGGTTTGTTTTGGCTTGTGGTTTGCAGGTAGTGTATGTTGGAGCAAGCTGCTCATCTCATTGTTTCCAGGAAGCAGAGAGGCTGGGGAGGAAAAGACTTGGTTCCTATAATCTTCATTGATAAGCACATCCCAAGTGACCTCACTTCCTCCCATTAAATCTCACCTCTTAAAGGTTACTCCACCTCCCCAATGCACCATAGGCTAGAGACTCAATCTTTAATACACAGGCCTTTGGAGGATACTTATTCAAACCATAACAGCCATTATTGGCAAATATTCCTTCAAGTTCATATGGCCCAAGAGTTTGTCTCCTAAATGAGATAGAAGAAATGCTTTGGGTGAGGCACAGATATCTGTTTTGGTTACAATAAGCTGGATTTGCAACTGGTGTTGCGGAGCTTTCCTCAATGCAACAGTTTCCTAGAGCTTCTTTCCACAGGTCTATTTGAATCTGCTGTGTTTTCTGTCTGTGTGAGTTCATCTGTTGTTCACGCAGGGACAGTAAAATCCAGCAGTTGGGGGCTGGGGAGGTGGCTCAGGTGCTAAGGTGATTGATACACAAGCTTTAGGACCTGAGTTCAACCCCTAAGACTCCTGAAAACAAAACAAAACAAAACAAAACAAAACAAAACAAAACCAAAAAAACCTGACATGGTGGTATGTACTTGCACTGTCAGTGCTGGGGAGAATGAGGCAGGTAGATCCTTTGAGGCTCATTAATCAGTCTGCCTAGGCTAATTAGTGATCTCCGCCTCCCCCCTCCATGAGAGTGCCAATATCAAAACAGTAACAATCACAGCTTTTGAAGAATGATACCAGAGGTCTACATGTACACACACACACACACCTGAACAGGTTTACTGTGGAAGAAAGTAGATCTGGGCAGATCTGGATAGAAGTTTCAGCCCTGTTGCTTATTAGCTTTGCCAATATTTATCGTCACCTAGAATCTTCACCAGATTTATCTGGCAAGCAGTAAATTACCTTCCTCTCTGGAAAGTGCCCAGTACACATGTGAACCACTTAGCTCTGGGAGATTCATACTGGTGTCTGCTGCGTGGATTACTGCTCAGGGAGTGTGAGTGCAGAGCTGAAGCAGGCATACACTGGGGAGCTTTGTGTTAGAACTGACCTCTCATAAGCGACTCACTGAAATTGCAAGGATGGAAGGAATAAGGTGCGTTGGCTTTGCAGGGGAGCTGGGGATATCTGAAGCCCCAGAAACCAAAGCAGGACTTGCCAGAGACCAGACCACAGAACTCAGCCTCTTTCAGGAGCCCGGGCTCCTGAACAGGGTGGTTACAAAGCCCCCTTCCTGATAGACCTCTCACTGTGCAGCTTAATTTATATATTCACTGACAACTTAATGCTACTAAAGATTTTATGAAACTTAAGCTTTTCAAATGCCACTTTTGTTATTCTTACTGAAATCCTTCAATCGCTAGTACATCAAACAACAACAACAACAAAAACAAAACAAAACAAAACAAAAAACCCAAACAACATCTAAATCAACACAGAGGAGGACAAGCAGAGACAGCAGGCCAGGAACTCAACAGTTCTCTGCTAAGACAGCTGGCACCTTGGGTTGCTGTAGCTGAGAAAGGGACATGAACACGGGATGGCAGGGTTCAGATCTTGGGGTGGATTTACAGATCCACAAACTGGCCTGATAGCTGCGTTTTCTGAGCTAGGGAGAGAAGTGATGGCATGGTCCTTGGTGGTGCCGATCCATATTGGAGGCAAAGTCACTAACCCTTCAACTCCATCCTGCACTTCCCTGAACCGGCAGCGCAGGGAGCAAGCCTCAGATCCACAACAAGCTGCATTAATTCCGACTGTCGCGATCCCCCTCGGGTAGTGCCCACACACCACTCGGCAGGTCTCCGGAGGAGCTGCCCGTGGTGCTGAATTTTCCTTTGTTTGAGAGGGACCTGGGGCCACCGCGCAGGCAAAAAAGGCTGAAAGGGGTTCACTGGAGGGTCAGAGCCCTAAGATCCCTGACCAGCGCCAGATGCAGCCCAGCAAATCCCTGCTAGACCCCAGCTCTAGCGACTCTGTCAGCTGCAGCTGGAGCTCTGCAGTATCTGGAGGTGGCCTGACCCTCATTCCCTTCACTCCCTAGTGTATCCCGACTTCCCCATCCTCACATTCTCCCCGACCCTGTGCCTTCTGAGACAGCAACTGGTGGATCCCGCAAATTGGCACTTTCCGCACCTCCTCTGCCCTCCCCTGGAACGCGTCCCTCCGGAACAGCTGCTCCAAGCCCCCCCCCCCCCCCCCCCCCGCACACTTCGGCAGCGGAGCTCACCTCTGGAGCTTGTGGCGGGTTCCTGGCCCCACCCCCTTTCTTATTCCATTCCTAATACACTCGCGGCCCCCTTCTCTAAGCACAGAGTTGGGCAGCATGCTCCGCCTCCATCTTCCATAGAAGGGAGAGCTGGTGTGGGGGAAGAGGTGGAGGGGAGGAGCTCCTAGACCCCTCAAAAGCTGCCGGCCCCTGGGAACGCCTAGAGTGCCCGTCGTCCCCGAGGGCCTAAGGGACAGCAGGCAGCCCGCTTCCGCCTTTGAGAACGCTTTCTCGCCAGCAAATCTGCTTACAGGTAGGACCAGTTCCCCGGTCTGCCTTCCCTGGACCGCGAGAGCTATCCACGAATAGGGGCTGTTTTAAAGCACCCGTGTTAGGCGTTTTCTATAGAGCTGTAAGGGCAGCATTTATTGCTTTTGATGTTCTGGGGTACTTATGTCAAGAGAGGAGCTGGGTGATGAGGGAAGTTTCTGAAGGGCCGAAGGAGGATGGAAACTGACAACTTTGGTTACCCTTGGACAGGTGGCCATGACCTCACTGCCCACTGGAAGCGCTGGGGACCCCGATTTGTTTTCTGGGCTGTCGCCAGCCGGCTCCACTCCAGCCAACCAGAGCGCAGAGGCCTCGCGGGGCAACGGGTCGGCGGCGGCTCCCCGAGCTGCGGCTGTCACGCCGTTCCAGAGCCTGCAGCTGGTGCACCAGCTCAAGGGGCTGATCGTGATGCTCTACAGCGTGGTGGTGGTGGTGGGGCTGGTGGGCAATTGCCTGCTGGTGCTGGTGATCGCGCGCGCGCGCCGGCTGCACAACGTGACCAACTTCCTCATCGGCAACCTGGCCTTGTCCGACGTGCTCATGTGCGCCGCCTGTGTGCCGCTCACGCTGGCCTACGCCTTCGAGCCTCGTGGCTGGGTGTTCGGTGGAGGCCTGTGCCACCTGGTTTTCTTCCTACAGCCGGTCACCGTCTACGTGTCAGTGTTTACGCTCACCACAATCGCTTTAGACCGCTACGTCGTTCTGGTGCACCCGCTCCGCCGGCGCATCTCTCTGAGGCTCAGTGCCTACGCGGTGCTGGGTATCTGGGCTCTGTCTGCGGTGCTGGCGCTGCCCGCCGCGGTGCACACCTACCATGTGGAGCTCAAGCCGCAGGACGTGCGCCTTTGCGAGGAGTTCTGGGGCTCGCAGGAGCGCCAGCGCCAGCTCTACGCCTGGGGACTGCTGCTGGGCACGTATTTGCTCCCCCTGCTGGCCATCCTCCTGTCCTACGTCCGGGTGTCCGTGAAGCTGCGGAACCGCGTGGTGCCCGGCAGCGTGACCCAGAGCCAAGCGGACTGGGACCGAGCGCGTCGCCGCCGCACCTTCTGTCTGCTGGTGGTGGTGGTGGTCGTGTTTGCAGTCTGCTGGCTGCCGCTGCACGTTTTCAACCTGCTGCGGGACCTGGACCCGCGTGCCATCGACCCCTACGCCTTCGGGCTGGTGCAGCTTCTCTGCCACTGGCTCGCCATGAGCTCAGCCTGCTACAACCCCTTCATCTACGCCTGGCTGCACGACAGCTTCCGCGAGGAGCTGCGCAAGATGCTGCTGTCTTGGCCTCGCAAGATTGTGCCCCGTGGCCAGAGCGTGACCGTCAGCGTGGTCATCTGATGTCACTCTGCCAGGCCTGAGCTGGGGAGCTTCATAGCCCTTAGCCCCGGAGGTCATCAGGAGACCTTATTCCCCGCACCAGAGATGTGCCAACACTGTGCGAGATCCCCGCCCGCCTTCTCGGCTAGCTATTTGTGTGATTTGTTGTTGTTTTGTTTCGTTTCGTTTCTGTGAAATGTTAGGTGGGCTTTGGAGCAGAAGAGCCTGGGGTGCGTGAGAGGAGCAGATTTACCAGTTCTTTCTTCTACCTCTGAAAGCAAAACACAGCTATTTCTCTGGGTTCAGAAAAAATTCAGAAGCGGGGTTTTCTTTTCTTTCACCTTGCTTACAGCATGGGTGGGCTTTAAATGTGGGCTTTAAATGGGGTTGGTGAAATTTTTCACCTTACCTTTTTAAAAGGCCCCAGAGGAGACATAATGACTTGGATTCATGATTGATTTCCAATAATATGTATCCCAAATCAATATTCAGGATTTCAACATTTCCTGAATATGGTTTTTAGGCTCCAAAAAGATTTTCATTTAAAAACCATTTGAATTTATAGTACAAATCCAGTTTCAAGTTACATTTCAGGGGATGTTGCTTTTGTTTTCTTTCTAACTCTCAGCTACCAAATTGAAAGGATGGAGCAGGTCAGTCAGTAGAAAGCTTGCCTGGCCTGGGTTCAGACCCTGCGTAATGGGGTGTGATAGTGCCTGCAAGCCCATGAGGTAAGAGATGGGGGAAGAAGGATCAGCAGTTCATGGTAATCTTGAGCTACACAGTACATCTGAGACCAGGCTGGGCTACATGAGAGGAATCGATCACTGAAGAGATAGGCAAAAGGAGAAAGATGTGATTCCCTGAGGACACCTGTACCTGTGCTTAAAGACAGATATGTGTGTGTATGTGCTGAGAAGTGTTTATCACCAGACAGAAACTTAAATACTTGCTTTCATGAGTGCTCAGTGTGGGCTGTGTGCCGCAGCGTTCTCCTGCATCCGCTAACTGCTGAATTTCAACAGATCAACAGCTGCCAGTTGACTGCTCAGCACCTGCTCCCTGGAGATTCTTGCAACATATCAGCCCAGAAGCCAAGAGCTGGATTATTTACTGATAACACAGAAAAAGAAACGTCCACCTACAACCTGCACAGTTCAAATGCTAGTCATTGTCAGGGTTTCAGGAACAGGTGAAGGCTGTTGGGCCTGAGGCTGGTTTGGGGATCAGCACATTAACTTCCTGAGAGTTCTGTTAATGAGGAGTGTATCTGGGGCAAGGGCCTCAGTAATGGGTGCTGAGACAGCCGCTGTGCAGTGAAGGAGCTTTGGGAAAGGATACAGAGCACCCTGCTCTCGAGCCAGGGCCTGTGAAGTGTGTGGTATGAGTTACGGTCCATAGCAAGTCTGTGAGGCTCTAGTGCTTCTCCAGCGCAGTCTCCCCTTCTCTTCTATTACTTTTGGAAGAAAACTGGCTCATTTATCGGAGTGCTGTGCAAGAAGAGGGGTGGCACCACAATGACAGCGGCAGCTGATGGGGCATGAACATTTGTTATATCGTTAGGCAGCTCTGGAAGTCTTCAGTAGGTGCAGGGTCACGTTCCATTGACTGAAAAAAGCTGAAGCAGGGTAGGAGGGGAGATGGTACTACCTCTGGCAGCAGCACCTAACTGGCTTTGAGCTTCATCTAGAGGCTGGAGCATGCAGGACCTGCGCTCTAATGCAGCGTATCCCCACACAGAATGTTACAAACAATTATTGTATTTGCTAGGCATCCCAGAGATGGGCATTGTATTCCCTGTCCAGGCTCAAAGCCAGAGCGTGCTTTTGATGAGTACATATGAAGAGAAAAGGAAATGGGGAAGAGGCGAGATTAGTTAGGAGGAATCCTGTCAACTCTGGTCTTTTTTCTTGAAATTGTTGGTTTCAGCTCTGGCTGCTCTTAGACTCCCCCCTAGGAAAGTACAAACCAAACCAAACCAAATACACTGATGCCCAGTCTTTGTCAACACCTTCACCCCCCCCCCCCATCTAATGGCTTTAAGGTGGGACCAGAGAGCCTGCATTCTTTGAAGTACTTCTGAAGATTTTAATGTGCAGCCTGACTAGAGTACCTTAAGAATGATCCCGTTTCCTAATGTTGCTCAGAAATACCTTTGTGAAACTTCATTTATACATATCAAAGTTGTTAAGAATCTGGACTTGAATTTGACATGAATTACAAATCTCAGTTGGAGAATACACTGTCAGTTTTTACACAATTTGTGCTCTATCAGTTTTGGAGGACAATCCTCATGATAGAATATTTGCACATTCATCTGTCAGGTTCTCTAATCAATTCCTGTGTAGCTCGTCAGTTTAGAAGGAACATTATTTAGTTTTAGTTAAGTTGCATAATAAAGTTGCCCATCATTAAATATTCCAATAATTCACTGTTAAGGTGTTAAACAATAAAATGTTCCCTGATTAGTTTAAGGCCACAGCGACTGTGAGGAGAAAGTGTCTCTTACTGCAGGGACACTGCTACCAGTGCATCGGGACTTAAGCTAAAGACTTAAGCATTGTAAGATCTTCTGGGTAGTCTAACGACGGCGCTCAGTTAGGCTGAGCTCAGAGCATCTCTGCAAACTGAGAAACTGGCAGCTAAACAACAACTAATTAATTGGTACCTGATGTGACATCTATTTGCAAGTAGTTTGCCAAAGAAACTGATGTGTAAAAACATCTCTCAGAGATGGGTTCCAGAGAAATCTGTATAGGCTTATACATAGAAAGTGTGTTTCATAATTAATTTTCTGTTGGTATCAAGTGCCTAAGATGAGTAAGCAGGTCCACTCCTGCAGGAAGGAGAACAAAGCAGGGACCTGAGCCAGCTGGGAACTTGGCTGACAAGAGGTTCTGTAATCCTTTTTGCAAGCATTGTCAGCAGGCCTCACTTTTGGCATGTGATCAATAGATTTATCTCACCAAATCGGCAGAGGAGCATTTCAGTATGTGCTGGCAACAGTGACCTTGGATAGCAACCATGAGAGACACAAGTCATAATAACTCCAGGTGATGTAGCCTTCCAAGCTTCTCCCCGATGGACGTTCAGGCTGCTCTTTTATCAGGGCAGCTCATTTTCCATTTTTTTATTTTTTTAATTTTAATTTTAATTTTTCTGGTGAACTATACCTTTGGTCCGCATTAGTGAACATCTAGTAGTCTTTCAGATGCAAGGCCAGGAACTGACCTCAAGGGCACTCATGTAAGATCATGACTTGATGGACACATGAGTCATCCAGTCATCCCTCACAGAGAGATGCTGGGAAGGCGTGTCTGTAATGGGTTATGTCCACACGCTGACTTCTTCATTCTATGTGTATGTCTTTGATGCTGAGCCATGTGGGAGGGTTGTCAGGCTGGAGCGTGGAGTGTGTTTGACATAATAAATAGTACATCAGTTTTGTACAGTCCAGCTGTGGAATTAATACACCTAGCCAAAGCCACGCCAGGAAAATCTTAGTGTCCAACTAGATCTGATCAGTTTTTACTAATTTCAGAGATGAAGTATTCATGCTGGCTTTTCTGTGACGCTCTGTCCCCAGTCTGCATGATGGCTTTAGTGTCTGGCACTAAGACTTTCATCCCTCTCAGGCAGGAGCCTAAATCCACAGGGCCATCAAAAAAGAAGTGGAGGATTTCATGCTGAGTTTCTGTGCTGCCATGAATGTAGATGAATGTTTAATGGTTAGCATTTTATCAACCATTTTCCACATGTAGCTTGGAAAATTCTAAAAACATATAATGAATGGGTCAATAAATAAGATCTAGAGCATTTTAAAACTTTAATGATAGAGTCATAAACTCCTCTATGGCTTTTTGGTGAATATGGATTATAATTTTAAGATGGATTTATGGCTGGCCAGCAAGAGTGCTCATCTGGTTAAAGGCGCTTGCTACCAGGACTGCCCCTGGGAATAAAATCTCAGGACTCATGCAATGGAGAGAACAGGCTCTCTAGTGTTGCGCTCTGACCTCCACGCATGCCTGGTGCATGCACATACACCCAACTAAATAGTGACTCTAGGGGAATGAGGTAGGCAAAGGTGCAGTGGTGCTTGCAGCTCAGTAAGGAAGACCTGATTTGGATCCTGTATGGGGTGTAATTTCAGCTCCAAGGGTCTGACCCTCTCTTCTGGCACACATTCATCTACTTGCACACTCACCCATAAGCGAAATAAAAAATAAAAATCATTTACAAATGGATTTATGAACACATTTTTTTTTCTGGTTCTACTCTTCCTGAATATGAAATAAGCTATGTGTAAATACTGGGAAAGGAAGAGGTTCAGACTGAATGGGAATTAGTCGTTATCCACAAAAAGCCTGGACACTCAAAGCCAAACTGTGGAGGCCGTGAGTCTCATTCCAACAACCAAGTACAGACATTTCTAGCAAGTTCTTTTTTTAAAAAAATATTTATATTTATATGTATTATGTATATGAATACTCAGTTTGCTTGTACACCTGCTTGTACACCTGCATACCAGATAGGTCGTCAGATCTCACTATAGATGGTTGTGAGCCACCACATGGTTGTTAGGAATTGAACTCAGGTCCTTTGGAAGAGCAGCCAGTGCTCTCAGGCTCTTAGCAGGGGCTTTTCAGATGTTCCCCCGTCTCATTTTTATTCCTCTCTCTTGCCCTTTGTCTTTGCTGCTGCTCTGCTTATCTATAACATACATCCTGTCTGAAGTCCCTCCCTAGGGATAGGGGGATATAGGGTTCAAGTCCTCGTCTTCTGTTTGCCTCTTGTAAAGGAGAAGCCACTGACTCTAATCCAGACATAACAACGACAGCTTGTACCCTGGGACAAGGTGTGTCCAGATCACAGTGTTGCCTGGACCCCATGGGTCTGGCCCCAAACGTTTGCTCAGAATTTTTACAGGCCTTGTAACTCAATAAACCTCACTGAGGGCTCTCAAGAGGACCTAATAATAACAGGTCAAAGAAACAGGATCGGGCAAAAGCAACAGCCTCTGCTTCTAAGAGGTCCCCACCTCGCCTCTCAGCTCTCACAAAAGCTTTTCTTGGCTTGCTGGTGGTCCAGTCTCCCAGTTCCAGAGCACATGTCCTCCTTCTGGACGGCAGCCACTTATGAATGGAATGGCATGCTACCATCATTTCCCCCACCCCTCTGTTACATCCAGGCAAAGGAGGAAAAGAATACATTTTACTGAGAAGACTAAATGAAGACTTTGAGTTTGACCTGAGAGAGTTAGGTTGAGAGAGTGACACAATCAATCTTACCCTTGGGTCTTCACTCAGGGGGTGGGCTCAAGGTAGGAGGTACCCTAAGGTGGCATATTTGGTGTCCACGCTATAGCTGGTGTGCTTATAAGTTGGCTCCTTCGAGTTGAGGAGAGTGTCCTTCTAAGCCGCTGCCCTTTTCAGGACAAATGCTGTGGGCTCAATGCCCCATTCAGGATTATAGGCAGTTGGAAGATCAGAACAGTTGTCAGTACCTCTCAACT